TAATTATCAGTGAAGGTTACGTTAATATAAAATAAGGTGACTTCAAAAAGTCTCTGAAATAACATTCTAAATTCTTTTTATTGTCATGCATGTTACACACCATTAAAACATACCCTAGTTTCCTTTCCTTTTTTAATAGACATTTTGACATTGGATGAGTTAAATTCGTGCACGTCAGATTAAGCGGAAGTTGATTTATTATTTTGAGAATATTGCATATCTCATCAATGTAACAATTTGATCATGACATGAAGAAAAAAGCGAGTCTCGGAATTGTTAAAAAAATATCACCTCAAAATACTCGAACGAGTTTTATTTCTACTCATTTTTAAAACTTTAGAAATTAGGTTATGTTTGTTTATTATGTATGTTTATATTTATCATATTTTTATAACAAAATAAAACTCTCCAATAGGTGATAATTATTTGTTTATATTAAGTATTTCTTTTTAAGTCAAACAGTAATCATAATATTCACTGAGCTGTTACTTGGTTGAACAGTTTATCACGGGATAATTTATTCATGGAATATTTTCTTCACAGTGCATTTATTATTCTTACGGTAATTTATTACTTTCATGTGTGAATTTCTCTCGTCTGTCATATATCAGTAAATATTTTAGTACATATTAATTTTAGTAAATATTTCCTTATATTGTATATGTTAATCAGTCATGCAACAGTGAGTTTTCTTTTTAAGTGTATATATTATTTTAGTAACTTAAATATTTTTTTAAAGTTTAATTAGCTATGAACAATCAAACATTTTCAATTCCGAAATTTATTGTGGTTATATACAGGTTGACTGGTGAATTACTATCGATACTTGAGGACGTGATATTTGACGATCATATTCATATATGTTTGACCAAATTAAAATTGATATAACATAAATATTAATAAACATCTAAGTAAAGTTAACCAAAAGTTATGTAATTAATTACGCATCGTGTGAACACCCAATACAGATACAGATAATAGGTATACACACACACACACACACACACACACACACACACGTCCGGTGGCGTGGTGTTGTATCAGCACGCCGCCACACGCGTCCACATTTGGAACACTTGGAACGTATCCACACTTTATTTATTTATACGGAAATTTGGTCAAAAATTAAGTCCCTATTTTTTTTTACATAATTCGAATGAGAATCATGTACCGAGTATTCTCCTTAAATATTGATAGTAATTCACCAGTCACCCTGTATACAGTTCGTAAATATTTGCAATTCTGTATGAAAAACTTTGTTGTTCTAATAAAATATTACTCCAGGCACGGACATTCTATCTCATCTCCTCGTGACACAACACACAAGCGCGTACTTAACTGAGGAACTAGCACGAGCCAACACCGTCAGGGAAGAACCAAAACCTGCTGATGAAGTAGAGCCTGTGAGTATCTACTAGTGATTACTCATACTGTTTTGCGATTATATTATAATATATTATGACATTTGCCGCTCAGGCGCGAGGCACGATAGCTCAATAAGCTTAAATAGTGCCTAGTTTTAACAAAATAAACCAAATTTTCATGTCTTAACAACAATTTAATAGAACATATTTGCTCTTTATTCAAAACTCTTAAAGCAATTTTATTTAAGGAGGAATTCATTTATTTCAGTTTCAATATTAATTTTAAGAGGTCACATCAAATAGTAAACTACGTAGAAGAAATTAAAATCATCGTATAACTGTCTTCAGATGATTCCAGTGTACGCTGAAGGCTGTGAGCTAACGGCCAACGTGCTCCTCTACATGGACAATCTCAAACAACACCAGGACAAGGAGCTGGAGATTAAATGTACGAGATGTGTGCTGAGATTCGTACGTCTCGGTGAATAATACAACTGTAAGTACTATATAAACAGATGAAACTAAAATTTTCGGACTGTTTCGCGTATTTTATTATTTTAAAAAGTATTATATATACATCCGACGTTTCGGTTACTTGTCAGCAACCATGATTAAGGCAGACGAGTTGTCGGGAGTGTGGTGTTTTTTAAAATAATAAAATACGCAAAGTATTCCGAAAATATTACTTTCATTTAAATTAATACTCGCAAGTCTTAAATCTACTATATAAAAATAAGTCCGGTTTTCCTTCCTGACGCTCTAACTCCAGAACGAACGAACCGATTATTTCCACGGTTTTGCATTCGTTTGCATATTTTAAGTAGATGGTGCCGGTGCATGACACATTGTTTGAAGGCTACTCATTGTTCTCTGCTCAGGTAATTTCATGTGACAAACCGGTATTGTGTTTGTAGTTTAAAGTCTTAAAACCATTTAGTATTTGCGGGATAAATTTAGAAAATCATTGTTTTTCACATAGGCAGTTATACTTTGCGTGTTCAGGAGTTCGGAAACCATCCGCTTTATTTGTGTTAACGTTAGACCAAAAAACAAAAAATGTGGTTTACAAAGGAGCACTTCAATGAAACGGATAATTTGCGGACACGTATAACGCTTCGATTCGGTATCTACTTTTGATTCACTTTTATTTACTTAGAGAAGTTCAACTAAATAACACTACATTTCTGTAATCGAAATGAATTCATTACTGTTGTGAAACGAAATTAAAATTTTCGTTTTCAAATATAAAACAATAAAAAAATTCTTCATCTTTTAATCACCAAACGAAATGTTACATAAAACAAACCTGGTGGCGAAACGTAGTTCGCCGGGTTTTCTAGTCTCATTATACAATAAAAATAAACGCTCACATCTCGTCTGTCCGTGATGACGGTTGCTGAAAAGTAGCCGAAACGTCGGGAGTATGTAGTTTTTATCAAAAATCAAGTAGTATATCCGAAAAATATTAGTTTCATTTACAATAAAATGAGTTCAATACACACATTAACACGTATAATATTTTTCAGGTCAACTGAAAGAGCATCAGGTTCGAGACCACAACCCGTTCGAGGAGGTTCTACCTGTGTGTTCTACTGAGCACTTGATTAACCTGCCCAAGGTATGTACGTCATATTACTCTTCTGCTACTTGTATACAACATGTAACATAATTAACGCACACCCTCAAACACCCCAAGTAGAATATAATAATATAAACGCAATGCATACACCAAATATTATTTATATGTGCGTTAGCATTGTTTATTTGTGAAATTAGTTATCCTAATTTCGTGGAATTAATATGGTCAGCTATTCACCAACACTCTGCTGCACACGCACATACAGAGAGACACAATGTACTCACCGCGCCCGCGCCCCTCTCTCCGAGTGCCGTCCGACAATATTATTTACTTAGGAGCACCAGCAGTATACATATACAACATTTACACAAAAAATATAGCCAAAAGTAAAGGTCTTCATAATATGTACACCTATTACAGGTGTTCACAGCATTGTCTAAAAAGTTTTTAACAATAACACCTTAATCTAATTAAATTAAATTACATCTACAAAAAAAATACTAATTAATAAAAACAACACAAATTAAAGGCGAAAAGTTACAATTTTAGAAATATTTTTGCAAGGTATGTCTAAATTTAGAATATGAATCGCGAAACATGTCTAAGTCTGTTACATCCTTATTTAGTAAATTGTAAAGTTTGCACATCCTAGCAAGCGGAGAATGCGCACCTAGATTTGTTCCAACTTTTGGATGGTAAAAACTTTTTGTTATGCGTTGACGAGGAATTTTATTGGGTACCGATATAGGAAGCTGAGCTAGTAGATGGCTGCTATCAATGTTACCATTTATGATTTTAAACATAATCATCAAATCATGAATTGATTGTCGAGCATGCAAGTTCTTCATGCCAAAATGAATTAGACGTTGTTCATACGGGCATCTGAATGATATTTCATGAGAATGAAATGCTAAGTAACGAGTAAACGCTCGCTGGACTCGTTCGATGCGCTGACTGTGTATACTATAAGTTGGATTCCATATCGATGAAGCATACTCTAACTGGCTACGGACTAATGCATTAAACAGTATAATTTTGGTGCGGGGATTTTTAAACATCTTTGTATTGCGTTTTAAAAACCCTAGCATTTGCATAGATTTTTTAGTTATCTACATGGGGCACAAATGTCAGTTTATTATCAATCGTAACACCTAAATCCCGAATTTCGTTAACCTTTGTAAGAGAAATTCCGTTAATGTTATTACATGTTACAATTGGCAACCTCTTCCTAGTGAATGTTATGTACGAGCATTTACTAACATTTAAATCCATCACATTGTCTTTACACCATGCATTTATTGTTAAATAATTGTAACAAAAATTCACATATTATGTCCAGCAGCGCTATCTATGGTCATTCCTAAGTAAATGAATGTATAATCTGTTGAAGGAACGAATGAGTAATTGAAATAAAACAGTTCAGTTGATTCAAAACCAGCAAAGCATTTTATTAGGTTATGGGCCCAGCGTTCGCAAAAAAATAAGTTTTAATTGATCTATCCGTGCAGTTAGTATTAAAAATGTCGACGAACTATTTAGCAAATATACCGAAGTTGAAAGGTCGTGAAAATTATGACGACTGGTGCTTCGCGGCGGAAAATGTGCTAGTACTCGAAGGCATGGCGGACGCTATCAAGGCGCCATTAGCAGAAACGGCTACATCGATTCAGAAAGCAGACGATATGAAGGCAAAAGCAAAACTAGTGCTAACAATCGACGCATCTTTATATGTCCATATAAAGCAATGTGCAACGACATATGAATTATGGAGAACCTTGAAGAATATGTTCGACGATTCTGGATATTCACGTAGAATCAGTTTGCTTAGAAACCTCATCAGTATACGCCTAGAAGACTGCGATTCAATGACCAGCTATGTCAGCCAGCTTATGGAAACCGCACAGAAATTGCAAGGAACTGATTTCGAAATAAATGACCAGTGGATAGCATCGTTAATGTTAGCCGGATTGCCTGAGAAATTTGAACCTATGATAATGGCAATAGAACATTCAGGTATCAACATGAGCGTGGACGCTATTAAAACAAAACTGTTGGATATGAGTATTGAAGTGAAATCGGAAGGTGCATTTATTGCCAAAAGGCATTTTCAAAGTCATAAAAATGGCGGCGGCGGCACTTACGGCGGCAATAGAATGAACGGAAACAGAACGAATCCGTCAACTGTCAATGTCAGTGATGGCGGCAATAATAGTGCATCGGCGAGAAATAAAATAATTCGTTGTTACAAGTGCAAGCAGATTGGACATTTTAAAAATCGATGTCCTCACACAGAAAAAGTAAAAACGAATGCATTTAGTGTATTTCTCACAAAAGGATTTAGTCAAACCGACTGGCACTTGGATTCCGGCGCAAGTACTCATTTGGTTTCCAACAAGAATTTGCTGTCAAATATTTGTTTTCAACCGAAGATTAAGGAGATTATCGTGGCGAATAAAACGATAGTGCCTGTTGAATGTTCAGGGGATTTGGAGATTACGACGTGTGTCGGTAATCAGAACCACAACATAATCGTGAACAATGTTTTGTATGTACCTAACCTGACGACTAATTTACTATCAGTGAGTAGAATAATTGCCAACGGGAATAGAGTTGAATTTCACCAAAATGGATGTTCAATATACAACTTACAGAATGAATGTATTGGTGTAGCTACATTGGAAAATGGTGTATACAAATTACATGTGAAAACTGAGGTGACATTTGCAGAATCAGTGAATGTATCAAGCTCAACATGGCACAGGCGACTTGCACATTTAAATGCCACTGATATGCAGAAATTGAAGAATGGAGCAGTTGAAGGTGTTAGCTACAGTGACAAGTGTGACATCAGCAAGAATAGTTGCACAGTTTGCTGTGAAGGGAAACAAACAAGACTTCCATTTCCTCACAGTGCAACCAAGAGTAGAGGAGTCCTGGATTTGGTCCATACAGACTTATGTGGACCAATGGAGATCGTGTCACTAGGTAAAGCTAGATACTTCTTATTATTTGTCGATGACTATAGCAGGATGTGCACTGTCTATTTTCTACGAGAGAAGAATGAAACCTTCAAATATTTCAAACAATATAAACAGTTTGTGGAGACTCAACAGTCAAAACGGATCAAAATCCTAAGGTCTGATAATGGAGGTGAATTCTGTTCAAAGGAAATGGAGAACTACTTAAGGCAGTGTGGCATAGTACATGAGAAAACAAATAGTTACACCCCGGAGCAGAATGGATTGTGTGAACGATATAACAGATCCATAGTTGAAAAAGCTCGCTGTCTCCTATTTGATGCTCAATTTCAGAAGAACCTGTGGGCAGAGGCCGTACATACGACAGTGTACATACTAAATCGTGTACCAGCTGCAGGTATCGGTCACAAGACAACTCCTTATGAAAGCCAAAGTTGGATCATCTGCGTGTATTTGGCAGCCCAGTCATGGTACATGTCCCTAAAGAAAAACGCAAGAAATGGGACAAGAAAGCGAAGAAGATGTTCCTAGTTGGGTATTCTGAGAGTATCAAGGGCTATCGTTTATATGATCCAGAAGCACGAGATGTTATTACAGCCAGAGATGTCGTGGTCATGGAGAACACAGATGACAGCTCCGCGACAACCATCACTATTGATGAGAGCAGACCACCCAAAGAAGCAGAAGAGGAACACGACTCTGTTAGTGAGGAACAGGATACCAGTGACAACCCGATGGATGAGACATTCATGCCGAATGAATCTTCTAATGACACTGATGATAGTTACTGTGATACTTTATCACCAGATGACCTGGATGTCCTCCCCACGCAATGTGACACTAATTTGCCTGAAAAACGTGTGAGACGCAAACCAGACTATTATAATGTTGCAAGCATGTGTGTGGAAATAGCGGGTGAAGAGCTCACTATTAGTGATGTGTTAAATAGTTCAGAAAAAGAACAATGGCAGTGTGCAATAAGGGAAGAGTTAAAATCTTTTAGTGATAATGACACTTGGGAGCTTGTGGATAGGCCAAAAGACAAAACTGTGGTCAAAGCTAAGTGGGTGTTTAAAAAGAAACTTAACAGTGATGGTGAAGTGCGCTACAGGGCCAGGCTTGTGGCCAAAGGTTTTACCCAGAAAAAGGGTATTGACTTTGATGAAACTTTTTCACCAGTTTTAAGATATTCTACATTTAGATTGTTATTAGCTTTAAGTGTTCAATTAGATTTATGTATGAACCATCTTGATGTTCCAACAGCCTTTCTCAATGGAGTTTTAAAAGAAACTGTGTACATGGAAGTACCAGAATGTTCAGAATTTAATAATTGTAATAACAAAGTTCTAAGGCTCAAAAGAGCAATTTATGGTCTAAAACAATCAGCACGTGCTTGGTATGTTAGAGTTGAGGATTGTTTGTTAAAGTTAGGCTATAGAAAATCTGATTATGAACCTTGTCTTTTTATAAAAAGTTATAAAAGTGTTAAAGTATATATTGCTCTGTTTGTGGATGATTTTTTTGTTTTCTTTAATTGTCAGAATGAATATACACTATTACTAAATGAGTTAGTTGAAAAATTTAGGATCAAAGATTTAGGTCAGTTGAAACAGTGTCTCGGTATGAATATAAATGTGTACAAAGACAGTATTACTGTAGACCAGAAGCAGTATATAGATATTATTCTTAAGAGATTTAATATGTCAGATTGCTCATCTTGTGATACTCCTATGGAAATTAATTTGAAGCTGGAAAAGAATATGAATAATAATTTGAATAAAAATTATCCATACCAACAATTAATAGGTAGTTTAATGTATTTGTCAGTACTTACCAGACCGGACATTGCATTTAGTGTAAGCTTCTTAAGTCAATACAATAATTGTTTCAATGAAAACACATTGGAAGCATTTAAAACGTTTATTAAAGTATTTGAAAGGTACTAGAGATTATGGTCTTGTATATAAGAAAACCAATTGTAATATGCATGGCTTTGTAGATGCAGATTGGGCTTCTTGTTCACTTGATAGAAGGTCATATACTGGATTTTGCTTTCTAATGTCAAATTCTGTAGTGTCCTATGAATCTAAGAAACAGAAAACTGTAGCACTATCTAGTACAGAAGCAGAATACATGGCCTTATCTGAATCTTGTAAGGAAGGCATTTATTTAATGAACTTACTAAAAGAGCTTATACAATATATAGATATGCCACTGCATTTGTATAGTGATAACCAAAGCTCGATTAAATTAGCTTCTAATTCATTGTTTCACAACAAGCGCACTAAACATATAGATATTAGACACCACTATGTAAGAGAATGTGTTTTAGAAAATAAAGTTAAAATTGAATATGTGTCAACAAATAATATGCCAGCTGATATATTGACCAAAAGTGTATGTAAAGATAAACATTACAAGTTTTTAAGTTTAATGGGTATTTCTAAAGTGTAGTTACATATAAAGTGTAGTATATTTGATTACAACTACTGTATACTTTTGTTTTTTGAAATTTAGTTTATTTTGTTAGGTCAGGGTGTTAAATAATTGTAACAAAAATTCACATATTATGTCCAGCAGCGCTATCTATGGTCATTCCTAAGTAAATGAATGTATAATCTGTTGAAGGAACGAATGAGTAATTGAAATAAAACAGTTCAGTTGATTCAAAACCAGCAAAGCATTTTATTATTTATGTATATAGGTAATAATAAGTATACGAAATAACTACATTATGATTTATGATTTTTCTTTAAATCACACTTTTCAGGCTTTAGATTGTCGACATTGAATTTTAAATGTGAAGGCAATATTTTATAATTACTGATTTGTTAAATTAAATGTGTAAATAGATTATTATTAAACAGCTGATAACGCGTGATTTGATTAGACACCACAATACCTACGACAAAGTGGGCGTGTTTAAATGGTGTGAATCAAAATTTTAACAATAATTTAAAGATCATAAACAAACTTACAGTTTAATTTGCACTCGCACGGCGTTGTCGTTTTAAAACATTTTCAAAATGTCCACCGCCTTGTTCAATGCACTTTAATGACCGTTTTCGCAATTGTGGTTTTACATATTTTGTATAATACTGCAGTGTCACTTTTCACATATACAAAGGCGGTTATTATCTTATTTTTTAGTTCCTTGACACTTGTTGTCTTTGTGTTATAAACTAGCGATTTAATTCGTCCCTACAAAAAAAAGTCGAGTGTCGTCAAATCAGCTGATCTAGGAGGTCAATGGACACGTGCGTAGGTATTTGATGTGTGCCAACTGTCGCTGTGCGTGCGTAGATATTTGTAAAATACTATTTTAGCCTTGAAACAAGTATCAGTTTTCTTTAATTGAATGATGATTACTAATTTAAAAATCTTAATACAGACCGTGGCTAAAGCTGGGAAATTGCCAGGAAGAAGAAGAAGAATCTTAATACCTTGACTTACGATCCATTTTCTTTTCTATGAAGTGTTTAGATAACTGTGTGTAGGATGACTGTAATTTACTTTGTGTATGGGTTTGATACCACACACCATTTAAATATGATAGTTTTATGGAGACCAGCAAGTTTGTGAGTATCGCGTCTAGGTAATGAGAACGACCTGTTTATTTGAACGCTTTATTGATACTGACTAAATTATGACAATGCTTACATTTATATTTGCTTATTAATGTGTACGTACAATAAAATTATGTTAATGTATGGGTGACTTTATGTTATAGATTGGGCTACTTATGTGACATAAATAACTATCAAAATTTATGCATGAATTGATAATACTCTGAGATAAAGTTATATAAGTATCCCCTTTCAAGTTAATTGCTACATAATTCGATAACGGTTTAATGCTAATCATGTTTTTTTCTTTCTATTAGGTATTGGAATAATACGAAATATTTCATATGTGTCTCTAATTACCAATGGTATTCTTATCTCTATTATTAAATATTTTTCTAATATTCTTGCTCTCGATTGAATCAATTTATAAATTTTATTTGTTTGGGTATGTATATTGGGTATAGGCAAGGTGACGTCTTTATATAGTTGACTAGCTATGTTACTAAGTTGCTCTCCCAACTGCTTAGGTGTTATTAAATGTGGATTGAATCGACCATGATATATATCTGTAATGGTGTCTAGTAACGTACTCTGTAAATTTTTTAGATTATTAAGCATGTTACTTCCGATGACAGCTCCCGCGAGCATTTCATTAATTATTGTTATATTTTGAATTTCTGATTGAAACGTATTTGTCGATTTATCCAATAAATTAATGTGCTGATTAATTTTATACTGCTTGCTAATTGTGCTCTCCACGCGCTTAAGAACGTTGTTTTCAGCTTCAATTATAGAAGTTTGATTTTTCCAGTATGATGCTAAGTTTAATTGGTTAGTACGAAGTAATGTGATATCTCTTTGATATTGTTCTGCGAATCTTGCGTCCAGTACTCCGAACAGGCTATTCGCAAGATAGCCGACACCGTTAATAAGACCTCGCCGCAGCCTTGCCGACGAAGTCAAAATATGTTGACCCAGTAACAGCTGATTGTAATATTCCAGTTCGTCGCACCCGTGACCTAATTGTAATAATAGTAACTCGCATCGTGTTTGCGTTCTTATTGTTTTGCAGGTTTGTTCGAGTGATTGTTTATACTTATTAATGGCTGCTATTCCTTCCCAATAAGGTTCCATATTGTAATATAGAATAAGTTTCCAATCGTCCCGTATTATTTGCATATCTCCAAACTTATCGAAGTATAAACCTTGATTGTCTCTAAATTTAGTTATATTTGAAATCGAATATGTGCTGGATATAGTGATCATGAAGAAAAGCAAAGTCATGATCGTAGAACTGAGTCCCCGACGCGTTTTTATTCTTGTTTGTTTTTTCGTCGGTTCAGAGGATTGTTCCGATCGTATTTTTTCTGTGTTACTATCTCAAATTGTGCTGTTTACGGGCAATATTGATACCTTTGTAATTGGACGTTTGAGAATGCCATTCTTTGTTTTTAACGAGACGACGCCCACGAATCCGTCCGTCCCGGGATGTAAGTCAACAACTCTGCCCATTGACCACTTTCCAGGCGGAATATTATCTTCATGAATAAGGACTACGTCATTTAATTTTATGTTTTCCTTAGAACGTGTCCATTTGCTTCTCAATGTTAACTGTGTTAGGTATTCAGCTCGCCATCTTTTCCATAAATCATTAAAAATCCTTTGCGTTAATTGCCATCTAGTTCTCAAATCCCTTTCTGTTTCGTAAAGTGTAAGTGTGGGCCCGTTAGTTAAGAAGTGGGATGGAGTTAAATAATTCATATCATCAGGATCTTCCGAAAGGGGACATAATGGTCTTGAATTTAATACCGCTTCCATTTGGGTTAAAAGTGTATGTATACATTTCTTCATATGTTAATTTCTGTTCGCCGATTACACGTCTAAAATGATGTTCAAAACTTTTCACTGCTGATTCCCACAAACCTCCTGCCGAAGGCCATGATGGGGCATTAAATGCCACTTTATTTGCATTTCACATATTTCCTTCATAAATTCCTCACTAAATATTTTCAGTAATTCTTGATATTCCTGACGCAATATTCTGTCAGCACCGACAAAGTTTTTACCTTTATCGCTGTACATATGCGACGGAGTTCCTCTATCGTCTCAGGGCTGCAAAAAAATGATGATGTGCTTAAATCTGTTACTAATTCCAAATGTATCGCTTTTGTCGCCATACAAATAAAAACTGCTACGTATCCTTTAGTGGATCGGATTCCACGTCCTTTACTTGCTTTTATGTAAACATGCCCTGTGAAGTCTACACCACAGTGTGAAAAAGGACGAGATGGGTTACTCCGTGATTCCGGTAGATCTTCCATAATTTGATCCTGCATGTAAGGATTGATTTTTCTACATTTTATACATAATCTGATTTGCTTCTTAGTTGCTACATTACCACCAATAATCCAATATTTTTGCCGTATAAAACTTAAGGTTGTACGGGCTCCTCCGTGAAATGTTAACGAATGTGCTTGTTGTATTATTAAATCCGTTAGGCGACCTCTATGAGGTATTATTATAGGATGCTGCATGTCTGTACTAATATGAGAGTGTCTTAATCTTCCCCCAACTCTTAGTATTCCATTTTCATCCAGAATTGGGTTTAAGCTTAATATTTTGCTTTTAGAGTTTATCTTTAATCCCCTTTTAATGTCACTTATTTCCTTTGCAAACTCGTCTGCTTGTACATGCTTTATTATTTTATACATAGCCATTCGATACTCGTCTAATGTTATGTATGATGTTTGTTTGGTTTGCTTTCTTGATATAAATCTAAACACCCATGCTAATGTACGTATAACCTTTGTAAAAGAGCTATACTTAGTTAATAACATATTTATGATGCTACTATCAGTGGTATTTTGCTGAATAACAACATTTGCTTGCTTTTTAGTTTTTATTTCTTCTTGCGTTGAATATATTATTTTCCGATTTTCGTTGCTGCTTGTGAAAGTTGATAGCCATGCTGGACCTTGCCACCATAAGGGATGATTGATCAATTGAGATGGCAGCAATCCCCGAGTGGCACAATCCGCGGGGTTTTCTTCGGAGCTTACATAGTTCCAACAATCAGAAGGCATGATATCCGTAATTTGTTGGATTCTATTTGCTACGAATGTTTTCCAACGACCGGGATCACCATTTATCCACCCTAAAACTGCTGTTGAGTCGATCCATCCGTATACTTTTATTTCATAATTTTCATATGATTGCTTAACTTGCGACATTAATTTAGCTAACAACAGTGCTCCACATAGCTCCGAACGAGGCATTGATAATGTTTTGCTGGATGGTAGTAATCTTGCCTTTCCCGCCACAACGGTGACTGAATTTTGATTTTTTTATTTTACAATATATCACACAAGCGTACGATTTACTTGATGAGTCACAAAATCCATGTAACTCGATGCTACAACCGGGCTTAGTTTGTAGCCATCGTGGTACTATAAACTTGCTAATGTTCGGAATGTCTTCCTTTATTTTAACCCATTCTTTGTGAATATTTTCGGGAATTTCTTCATCCCAATTAATTTTTGATAACCAAATGGTTTGGAATAATATTTTTAATTGCGTAGTAATAGGCGTGAGCCATCCCAATGGATCGAAAAATTTTGAAATGTCCGATAAAACTAATCTTTTCGTGACTCTTTTGTTAGTTGAACTTAATTTTGATGTAAATGTAAAAGTATCCTGTGTTGGATTCGACTGTAATCCTAGTGTTTTTCTAGATTCTGGTTGCTTAAAATGAAGAGTGCTTTGTTGATTTTGATTAATTTGCCCTTGTAACAAATTAGGATTATTTGATACCCATTTTCGTAAATTGAATCCACCAGACTTTAATAAATTAATTAAGTCCCTTTGTAGTTCCTTTGCTGATGATAAAGTATGTGCTCCATGCAACAGATCATCCATATAGAATGACTGTTCAAGGATTTTTGCTGCTTCTTGATAATTATCTCGTTCATCGTTCGCTAACTGTCGTAATGTCATCATAGCGAGAAAAGGAGCGGCTTTTAAGCCGTATGTAACTGTAGTTA